GATTGCTAAGAGTCTAAATTACGGAATACTAACTTTTTTATTTTTTAACCCAAATATATCATGTTTGGTATCAAATGAAAGCATTTTTGATTCTTATTAAGATCATTTCAATATTTATCAAAAAATCGTTATATTTAATTTTGACATTTGACAGTTCCTAACTAACTTTTTTATTTTTTAACCCAAATATATCATGTTTGGTATCAAATGAAAGCATTTTTGATTCTTATTAAGATCATTTTAATATCTATCAAAAAATCGTTTTCTATATTTTCTACATCCTTTTAATCCTGTGTATTTGAGCATTTATTGTAGTAATTAGTTATTGGACTACCACCATTTTTTGAGTTATTATTATTATTATTTTCTAGCGTTTGGATAATAGCAACAGTAGGTTGTTTCGGAAACCTTTTAGTCCTAATCGGTAGATTCTTAGCAAAAACCAACAACGTCGTCCACTCACTTTACATAAAAAACTTAGCCCTCTCCGACTTATTAATGGGCTTATATTTGTTCATAATCGCCATTGTCGATATGAAATACCGCGGCGTTTACGTCCAGCACGAATCCGCTTGGAGGCACAGCAAAACTTGCAACATTTGCGGTTAATAATCAGCATCTCAATACAATCACATATAATTTTAAAAAATTTCCAGGATTCTTAAGCACTTTATCGTCAGTTTCATCAGTATTCATCCTCTCACTAGTGACGTGGGATCGATTCATCTCAATCACAAAACCTTTAGCAAGGAAACAAGTTTCAGCGAAAACCGCAACGCTACAATTATTAATTTTATGGTTTATAGCGGGATTAATCGCATTTTTACCACTATCAAAAATCGATCCAGATTATTTTAAAGATTTTTATAACACCAATGGAGTTTGTTTACCTTTACACGTCCATGAACCTTTTCAACAGGTAATTTTAATTTTTTATTTAATATTAATCTAATTAATTTTTGTTTTCTTGCAGGGTTGGATTTATTCAACGGTTATGTTTGTAATCATTAACTCATTGGCTTTAGTTTTCATCATTTACGCTTACGCCAGGATGATCCATGAAATTGAAACAAGCGGATTAGCTTGTAGATCAACCCAACAAAGCAAAGACAGAGATAAAGTGGCGAAACGTTTCGGAATAATCGTATTAACCGATTGTTTATGTTGGGTCCCCATTATCATCGTTAAAATAGCCGCGTTATTAGGGGCCGATATTTCGAAATATTTGTACGCTTGGTTGGCGATTTTTGTGTTACCGATTAATTCGGCGCTAAATCCAGTACTTTACACCTTAACAACATCAATTTTTCAAAAACAAGTAATTTTTTTCTATGGTGTTATAAAATAGATTTATTTCGACTATTTTAGATGAGAAAATCGTGCGCTTTTTGTGTTAAGAGGCGCAAAAAACGCGAACATCCTTCAGGGTATGATTCAGCGTCGAGTTTAAGTCTGGGTTTGTTTTCTTTGGGTGGAAATAACCGCAGAGGATTAAATTATCGGGTAAAAAAATGTTTAATTTAATTAAATTTATTTAATTCCCATTTTTTAGGGGACCCAATCCAGTTTAATGACAAGCAAAGAAAATTCGAGCAAAAAACCAACAGCTGTTTGATTAATTCATTAATTAATTAACATTTATCAGTGTTAAATGTTTCAAAAAATAAATTTAATGTTGTTAATTAATTCAAATACACAAATTTTCCCGCCACAAACAACGCCATCTATCAATAACCAACCCTACTATCTTAATTAATTAAAAATTAAATCATTTTCTTATTAATTTCAGGTTTTGTAACCGGAAAAGGTTTATAAATCCTTTTATACGATGATTTCCGCTTAGATTTTTCTAAATCTTGATACGGATCGACTTCCAAGTCATTTTTAATCCGATTAATATGTTTAACGTCATTATTTGAAGCTGCGATTAATTTATCGCCCTCAATATAAAAGATATTCGGAGTGGAATCATCTAAAAACAAAAATTTTAGTTAATTTCATCAATTTTATTTCATACTTACTCCGAATTTTGTGCCGATGACTCTTATTGTCCCGAATTTTGTGATTACAAGCACAAAAAGTGATCAAAACCGCCAACACCATCAACTTAAACATCATTTTTAACGAAACAACTTAAACAAAGCGTTGTTTATCGAGTAAAACTCGGCAAATATTGTTGTTATCTAAACAATTCCGCTTTAAAAGCCTTAAAACATTTTTCTTTGGAAAAAATAACATTTCCCGACATTTTTCGAGATAATAAAATAATTTATTACAAAATTCCACTTAAAACGAAATTCCAAATTGAGCAAAAACATAATTAATTAATATTTAAGCGTATTTAAGAAGCCCCTCACAAATAAAACTTTAATTTTCCTCTCACGTTGGACAAAATGAACTTCAAATTCACCTTTTTCATAGTTTTCGCGTTAATTTTTGCTTACTCCATGGAAGGTGAGTATAAAATCGATTTAAAACTTGTCATAACCGAAATAGATTACCCAATTAATAATTTTTTTTTAGCAAAAACCCATAAAAAATCGCACGAAAAGAGTTTAACGGGAAAATCGCTCCAATTTAAGCGGAATTTAAACCAACGCGATGCTTGTAAGTTAATTTTTTATCAAAAATTGGCATTAATAATAAAAAAATGATTTTAGACTCAAAATATGACGGAAATGAGGAGAAATTTTTGATTAACGCCCCTGGACACGTTCAGCGGAGAGCTCATCATTAAAAAACGACCCTAATTTGTTGCATTAAAATGGTTTATTAATAAAAAAATTAATTTGAAAAAATTTTAGTTTTAAATTTCCCGCTGAAACACCGCCATCTATGGGGACTAATTAACACTTAATTAATTAATTTTGATTAAATTAACTAAAAAGTTACATTTTGTGGTTAAAATTGAATTAAAAAAGCAAAAATAATTATTAAATTAAAAATAACTCACCAAAATAAGTCAACATAACCTCAATTTTTGTTTAATAAAAATTTGGGGGAAAATTGTTCGAAATTAGCACTAAAATCAACAATTTAACTCATAAATCATGTTAAACCACGCTCAAAGGTGATAATTAAGAATCTTTTAAAAGTTTTTAATCAACAAAAAACATAACCTTAATCACCGGATTTTTTTTTTTAAATTTGTTTGTACTTACCGAAGATACGCCAAGATTACAATGATCCATAGCAAAAAGGGGCCCCCGCATCCACCTAGAACGCATTATTTTAATTCAATTTAACATTTTAAAAGTTATAAGTTTAATTTTTAAGGAATCGGAAAGATTCTTACCGCATTGAAAACAGCGCCATCTCACCACCACTAACTATAATAATGATGGTGGAATTAAATTTTTCTTCCCACTTTATTCATTTAATTAATAAATCGCCTCTAAACCAATTTTCCCCATCGAAATCATCTTAATACACCTATAAATAACAATTTTTTGCATTAAAAACTTAAATTAAATTTTCCGGTTAAAACACCGCCATCTATTGACAACTAATTAAACTAATAATTTTTAAATTATTGAATTTAAAATTAAATGATTAATTTAAATTCGCATTCCAAACACGCTAATTACCTAAATCAATTATTATTATTAATTAATACTTCAGAGGAAATAATAAAATTAATGAATAAAAAAATAACAACATAGAAGCGCCATCTTTTATGTATTAATTAAATCACACATTATTTTTAAATTAATTTAACTCTAAATTAATTAAACCCCCTTTTTAAACTTGAATAACTCCAATTTCCTTATTTCATTTCTTATAAATAAATCAGTACATATTAATCTTATAAAAAAAATAATATTAAAAAAATGACAACTTAACCTCACTTTTTGAAGTAGTGAATTTTTTGGCAAAACCCTTCGAAAATGGCTCAAACTAAAAATAAAACCTCCGTTAATCGGGTCAGGAAAGCTTCGCCGATGTCGTTCGACCTAAAACGCTACTTAACCATGGATTTTATCAAAGATTTACTTTATAACCCCAAAAAATTGTACATAACGTGTTGGGCTTTGTTAATATTCGAGGTATTTCTAAATATCTTCATAATCCAAAGGATTAAATACACGGAAATCGATTGGATTGCTTATATGCAAGAAGTTGGAGGGGTTTTAAATGGAACGTTAGATTATAGCGAATTAAAAGGTAAATTTAGTGCCCGATTTAAGGTTTTAACTCCTTTTTTGATTTTTTTAGGTGATACAGGCCCATTGGTGTACCCGGCTGGTTTTGTTTACATTTATTCGTTACTTTATTACATAACGAACCAAGGGGAGAACATCCGATTAGCTCAATATATTTTTTTATCGCTTTATATCCTACAAAGTTACATAACATTTGAAATTTACAAGAAAACTCAAAAAATTCCTCCATATGCATTAATTTTATCTACAATTACATCATACCGGATACATTCCATTTATGTTTTGCGTTTATTCAACGATCCTTTCGCCGTATTCTTTTTTTACTTATCCTTAACATTATTTTTAAGGAATCAATGGATTTTGGGGAGCATTTTGTACTCATTCGCGGTTTCCATAAAAATGAACATCTTATTGTACGCCCCATCTTTATTAATAGCTTATTTAACCAACTTAACGTATCTCCAAACCATCTTAAACCTCTTTATTTGTGGGGTGGTCCAATTAATTTTGGGCGCCCCATTTTTATGGGCGAATTTTTGGGGCTACATCAAAGGAAGTTTCGATTTGGGGCGAATTTTCGAGCACAAATGGACGGTTAATTACCGATTTTTACCGCGGGATTTGTTCGAAAATAAAAATTTTCACGTCGCGTTGTTGGTGGTACACGTTTCTTTGTTAATTCTGTTTTATTCGAGCGTTAAGAAATATTTTAGCGCTTATTTTACGATAAAATCGACGTTGGATGAGATAAAAACGAACACAAAGGGTGCTCGAAAAGGGAAAAAATTAAAACAAAGTAAAAGTGTTAATAAAGAGGAAGAAAAATTGAGTAAAGATCAACAAAAATTCATCGATAACTTTGAGAGGCAAATAAAATCGAGGAATAAAATTAAAAAAGATGAAGTTAAACCAGAAATTAAAGAAACAATGGAAGTCGATTTCTCTAGTGTAACTAGATTATTCGTTTTGCCGTTTTTTGTGGCGAATTTAATCGGGATTACTTGCGCTAGATCTTTGCATTACCAATTTTATAGCTGGTACTTTCATAGTTTGTTGTACCTCGTACATTCGACTCCTTATCGGAAGCCGATTATATTTTTGTTGTTAGCGGTTGTTGAATTTTGTTGGAATACTTACCCCAGCACAAACATATCGAGCGCTTTATTGCATATTTGCCACTTTTCCATCCTATATGGTGTCTACAAAGTTATGAACCAAAAATGAGTTTTTATGAATAAAAATTTTTTGTTACATACCTTCGTTTTTCTTGGGTAACAACAATTTACGATGTTTTAGATGTTAACACAAATTATGCCTAAAAAAACGGCAAAAAATGATTTAAGTTGAATTTGAGCGTTTGACGTTTTACTTTTTAACGAAATGAAGTTAGTTGGGGAAAAGTTAAAACATTAAATTATAAAATAATTTAATTTTAATTGATTAAATTCATTATTGAACTTTATTTTAATTAATTAAATCATTACAACATTAATAATCGATAAATATAAAAGAATAATCATTAAAATCGGATTAATTAAAAAAAAATTAAGTTGGTACCTCTGATTGTCAACGGTGTCAATTTAAAGTGCGTATAAAAAGTTTTTCATATTAAAAAATCGTTTAAAACTTCAATAAAAGTATAAGTGATTGTGGGAAGAAGAAATTCTCGTCGAAAAATCGATTTCCAAACGGGTGAGTTAACTTGTTTTTTAATAATTTTAATTTTTACTCTTAATCGGGTTAAATCTATCTTTTTTGGTAAATTATAAGAAAACGCTTAATTTATTTGATGTGAGAATGTGTATATTTCATCTAATAATCGTTTACTAAATGGAAATAATCTACAGGGTTGTATTTATTAATTAATTTTTTTTTTGAGGTTAGGAAAACAAAAATTTTTTTAATAACATTTTTCGTGAAAACTTAAAACGATTTAATTAATTTAATTTAATAAAATTGACAGATCGTAGTTCGTTTAGGTTCTTTTTTCACAAATATTCCACAATATCGCACTTTATCGATATATTCGGACAAGATCGTCCAAACGAATAGTCTATGTTATGTTGGGATTTATTCCTTTCGGTTAATAATTTTTGAAAAATCGGCAAAATCTCGCGATCTAACAATTCACTTTCAGAGGTTGCGTTATACATCGATTTCTCCTTTTTAATAGCACTGGGTAATGTTCTTGTACTCTTTATTGCAGCCACATTGGGGGTCGATTGAAAATACCCCAACTTATTACACTGTTGATTACAAATATTTGAACTCGCCTCTTTTTTGGGACTTTTCTCGTTTCGTTTTTGAATGTGTTTATTCCTTTCTGAGACGGATCTATGCATCGTCGTATCATCTTCTTCTTGATTAACACTCCGACTCGTTTTTTGGTGGCTTTTAACGCATCGATGTTGATTCCCGGTGTCCCAAAGTTCACTTTTCGCAACAACGTGAGTTCCGCATTCATTTTTTTTCTTCGCCGGAGTTGCCCGATTCACCGGAACGCTCACTCGGCGATAACAAACGTTCTCCTCGTGATCTTGGGCGTCGTTTTTGAGGCTACATCTCCGTCTTAGTTGACTTTGAGGTGTTTTTTCTTCTTGTTTTGTTTCGAAATAATCGTTTTTTTTTGTAAAACTGACCTCTTCGTAGATTTGGGATCCGTTACAAATCGTTTCGGTTTTAATTTCGGGTTGTTTCACTTCCGGTTTGATCTCGATTAAGTTTTGGGGTGATAAATTTCCGTTTAATTTTGGTTCTTCGAGTTTGGGAATCTCGAAACTGTCTTTGGAGTGTGATTTTCTTCGTTTTTGGCTATCTGAGCGGTGAAATGAGGTACAATCTTGCGAGCTAATGCTACAAAGTGAAGTTAAATCGGTCGTTTCGGTTCCGGAAGCGGGGTCTTTTCGTAATAGCGGAACGGAAAGCCGATTTGTGTCGCTGGAATCCAACGTTTTCGATTCTAAAAGTTCTCGCGCCTCGTTTCCGAGGCGTTTTATGAGGAGTTGGAGTTCGTTTTCTTTGTCGAGGAGGGTTTTTCGAAATTTCGAATTGATCGCTTTCACCTCTTTCATCTTCGATTCTAATTCGGAAGCGCTCGAGTCTCTTCTACCCGTTTTTGACATTGGTCTAAGGGTTGGTCGGAATCTTTTGTCGATTGATCCCCCTGGGTTTCGCTTTAATTCCACCATTTTCGGTACAAAAACTAACCATAACGTTGCTGTTGTGCAGAAAATTACGAAAACTCCAATAATCAAAAACATAGCATCTTGGTGATCGACCAAGACCAAAGCGACCGCAGCGCCGCAAATACACATAATCGCAACATTATAAACCGATAATCCAACGTGTCTGCTATCGTTTAATGCAGGGATTGAGACATGCCGGGTTTCCCAGGCTAGGAAAGCACCAAAAATCTACACAAAAAATTAAATTAGGTTTTTAAATATTAATTGATTCATTATTAACCATTAATAATCCTTTGTAGGCGTAAATCGACCCGATGAAAATCGTCATCTTTTCACTCGCACAATATTCATTCTCTGGGATGATTACAATATCTTCACTCGATGGATGGGGCTAAAAAACATTTAAAAAAACATATTTTTAATATAATTATTTAGATTTTAAGCCTAAAAGTGAAAAAAATTTTGACATATTTGTAATCGTCGTGGAAAATCCTTTAAAATGAACCCAAACATGATACGTTTAATTCCAATATTACTCGAGATATAAGCAACTTCCGGTTTGAAATGTCAATGTCATTTTGAAATATTCGCAATTTTTATAAAATTATCACAAAAACAAAAATATAATCAACAACAAAATGAAAAATTGGGGTTGGTATTAATATTTAAAAGTTATGTTGCTAATTTCATTGTTGCCAACTTTGAAGACTACTTTAGAAACTATCTAGACCCTTTTGGACATCTTTTAAAATCTTCTGGCTATCTTTAAATTATCCAGAAAGCGTTTACACACTTTTTGATATTCATGGCAATCATTAGAAAGCTTCTGAACTACTGTAGAAATCATTAAATACCTTCTGGACACTTTTCGACTACTATAGATGTCATCAGACACCATTTTAACAGTTTGTAACGACTATAGAAATAATTAGAAAGCTTCTGGACACTTTTTGATAACTATAGGAATCATTAGAAAGCTTCTGGACAATTTTTAACTACTATAGAAGTCATTAAATTCCTTCTGGACAATTTTTGATGGTTATAGAAATCATTTGAAAGCTTTTAGACACCTTTTAACGACTATAGTAATCATTAAGCAGCTTGAGGACACTTTTTCACGACTATAGAAATCATTAGATAGCTTCTAGAATTGTCCAGAAAGCTTTTAGACACTTTTTGATAATCATAGCAATCATTAGATAGTGTCTGGACACTTTTTAACATCTTTAAAAACCCACTGAATGTCTTCATAAATGTCCAGAAAACGTTTAAATCCATTTTGACGACTTTAAAAAACTTTAGACAAACTTTATAACTGTCCAAAAAGCTTTTAGACACTTTTTAGTAATTTTGCAATTCCCTAGATGTGCCTGGTCAACTTGGGAGACTTTTTGTCATCTTTAAAAATCTTTTTAAGACAGTTTTTTTTAATAAAGAATACATCATGAAGTTGTCCATATGTCTATTATATGATAATTAACTTCAGGTTTAAAATGTCAACCTCAATTTTGACGTATTTGTAATCGTCATTAAAAATCCTTTAAAATGAGTACAAACACGACATATTTATCTTCAATATTAATGAAGTTATGGTCAATTTCCGGTTAGAAATGTCAACGTCAATTTTGACATATTCTTAATTTTTATTTAAATGTCTTAAAATTTGTTGCAAAAACAAAAATATAATAAAAAAAATAAAAAATTAAGGTTGGTATTAATATTTAAAAATTAAATTGCTATCTTCATTGTTGCTAACTTCGGGTTGAATGTTTTTTTATTCTAACTTTTTTGTTTTTTGAGATAAATGCTTCATGTTTGGGCTCATTTTAAAGGATTTTTCACGACGATTACAAATATCTCAAAATTGACGTTGACATTTCTAACCGGAAGTTAACTTCAGTAATATTGAAGATAAATATGTCATGTTTGGACTCATTTTAAAGGTTATTTTATAAAGATTACAAATATAATAATAAAATTAAAGTTGATATGCGTCGAAACTCTTTCAAAAAACACCCAAATCATTTTTATTGAAATAAAACTAGAACTAGTTAGCATAAAATATCAGTATGTTGCATATTTTTATTGAACTAAAAGTAGAACTAACACTAGATCTAGAAGTAGAAACATTCTTAATGATTTCATATACGTCAAATTTGGGTTTGTCATTTCAACAATGAAGTTAGGGAATAGGTACGCCCTGATTTTTATGTAAATATATTTTTGGATATTGCATTTTAACTCAACATTTTTTCTTTGGAGCCTCCAATTTCATTATATAGAGGTCTTACTGTATTTATCTCCAAAATCAGCAACAAAAGCAACCATAAGCTAACTTTTTATAAACGTCAAACATGGTGGCGCCATCTCTATTTAGTTACAATAACTTCGCTTTAATTGATTAACACAATTTTTAGTTTTTTTTTTAATTAATCGATACTAAAACACTTAACTAATAAAAAAATAAAGTCTACATTTATTTTTACACAAACTTACATGCGATTCTAAACGTTTCGTTTCCCGATAAAAAGGATCAGCAACTTGCCAAGTTGTCATAATCACCAAATCAATGAATAAAAGCACCCCGACCACCATAAATAATTGGTAATCTTTAATAACTTTCTTGTTCAATTTAACGTCGGTAAAAATAGAATGAACCCTCCACGTTTTCGAGAACATCGCCCCAAAAGCCAGCGAAAATCCGGCCATTAAAGTCCAAGCCCTCGCCGTGCAAATATACGGGAAAGCTTCTAAAAATAAAGTTTTAACACGTTAATAATCATTTTTTCAAAAATAATTACCAACACTCGAAAGGCCAGAGTCTAATCCAAGGAAAACAATGCTCGTATATGTTAACATACACCCAATAATAATTAAATTATTTAATTGGGGGCTAGACATCTTTATGTATCTTTGATTTCGATACTTTATGTTAAACGCCAAAAACACAGCTGCCATTATAATCCCACAAACAGCTAAAGTAGCTAAAATTGCATAAACTGTCTTATTAACTCTTGTATGTTCGATTATCCGCAATGTTCTATCTTTCGGGGGGTGCCTAAAAAAACAAAAATTAATTAATTAAAAAAAAACATTTAATTAAATTCATACTTTCCAATCCAACTCAATGGATCCCCCAGCGTTAAATCTAAATGATTCGTAACCGCGTTATATTCCCCAACTTTAATCTCAGAACCTTTTTGAAACTGTTTTAATAAAATGCTCGCTTTTCTTTCGTTATCGTAGAATCGCACGGGTCCCGTTACGCCTTCGAAACTCGTATTTGCCAACGCGTTAAGAAACAATTGTTCCCAATTTGCGTCGCGATACCGGAAATCAACGACACTTTCGTTCTTTTTAATCCGTTGCGCTACGTTTTGTATCGCCAAAGCGACCGCCCAAATTCCGTCGTATGTGTAACCGTGAAATCGGGAATATTCGCGACCTCGGCGCGAATTGTATTCTAAAAGATATTCTTCTGCGGTCTAAAAATAAAATTAAAGAAAAAAGTGAGGTTATGTGTGTTTTTGAGGTTATAAATTTTAAAATTGGTTTATTACGATTCCGGAAACGGTGATTTCTCCGCTAGTTGATAAAGGTAATAAATCGGTTAATAAAGTTTGTTCTAGCGCAATTTCCATCTCTTCGGCGGTACAATTAAAGTTTTCGGGAAGGTTTTTCCACCAACCGAGTGAATATGTCCCCATTATGATCCATTGGTACCGTCTCCCATACATTTCTAAGTGATAGGCTTCGCAAAATATCTCCCTCGCGTAATATTCATTGAAATTTCCTTAAATAATAAATTAATTATTTAAATAATTAATTTTTTTCGATCACAACAATAATTATTTTGACATTTTAATACCAACTGCTTAAAAACAAAAAAAAATTAATTTAGTTTATTTATTTTTCATTAATTAATTAATTATTTGTCTTATTTTATATTAATTAACTATAATTTTGATTGAATTTTAATTAAAATGACTTAAATAATTATTTAATTTATCGCGTTGCTTAGCAACCCAAAAATGTCAAATTATATAATCACAACAAACAAATCTAACCTAAAATAACTCTCGTATCTTCTTTCTTTAATTTGCTTAAAGCTGCATTAACTTCGTTCGTAAAGCTTTGAGTTTCAACGACGATGTACCCCAAACTATCCAATTCAGCGACCAATCTGTTATGGGCCAAAGAATATCTCGGTTCGTTTTGGTAAATAGTCCCAACTCGGGTCCAATTGAATTTATCTAATAATGATAATCTCGGGGGGTTAAAAGCCATATCGGAGGGGACTATCCGAAAAAAATTGGGGTAATTCTTTTTCGTAAACATAGGATGAGTATCTGCGTATGATAACTAAAAAATTAACAAAGAAAAATTAATTTTTAGATTTTGAGGTTATGTTACGTTAATTACTTGCGTTAAATGCCACCTTTTTGATGCTTTAGCAATGGGATCGGTTACGTGAGTACAAGCGGCCCCAAAAAGCATTAATTTATGAGGACCACTGTGCATCATATCGAAAAAAGCTTTAACTCCAACGGCTGCATTACACTAAAAATATGAAAAATGATTAAAAAAAATAACAAATTGGTTTAAATGAATGGAAATGAAGGTGATTTTGAGGAAATTTGAATTGGGAATCCAGAGAACGGACTCAGTTTATGTCACAATCCGCCGCAACTGTCTTCCCGATCCAAAAAACCCGATTTATTTTAAATTATTAAAAAACATAACCTAAAATTTTTGAAAAGAGTCTTATCTTACTTTTGTATCGTTCCACCACATATGAAGTCTGTAGTTTCGTAACACAGATGAGGCCTCATTTACATGATCCAAAGCTAACTTAACACTTGGCATAACTCCTCTACCTATTATTTAATTATTTTATTTATTTAAAAAATAAAAAATTATTTTTTTAAATTTTTACCAGTATCTGCATGTTCAGATTCTTTCCCATAAGGAAAAAACCCTGCAATATAAACATCGTGCCTCCTATTATCCATGTTAGGTTTCTGCGAGGCACAAAATTTAATCACAACGAGCACTAACAAGTTTTTGAGCCACATTTTTCTTATTATTTGAGGGTAATACTAATTTTTTATTTTTACTTTTACTCAATTAAACTTGAATCGTTACTTTTGGCGATTAAAACAAAACATTTTAACGCGAACACTTCGGAAATGATTGATGTTTTGAATTGATTTCGGCTGATTAGTCCGCATTTTGAAGGTATTTTCGACCGAACCGCCCCCTGACCGACATAATAACGTTCGTTCTATTTAAAGTTTCGCGAACCGCCGTGTCCCCGCTATATCGATCGTTTAAAAGGGGTGGAAATCCAAGGGCGCATGTTCGTTTTATTATTTGAATGCGTTGTCGGTCAAAAATTAATCAAGAAATTAAGATTGTTTTAAAGCCGAGGCCGCTTGAGGCCGAAGCACTTCAATTTACTCCATTAAAAAGATATTAGCTGATTTATTACAATGTTATAGAGGCAGAAGCCGAGGTCGCTTGCGGCCGAGGCCTGTGATTTTCTTCGTTAAAGAGATATCAGCTGATTTACTACAATATTATAGAGGCAGAAGCCGAGGTCGCTTGCGGCCGAGGCCTGTGTTTTTCTTCGTTAAAGAGATATCAGCTGATTTACTACAATATTATAGAGGCAGAAGCCGAGGTCGCTTGCGGCCGAGGCCTGTGTATTTCTTGGTTAAAGAGATATCAGCTGATTTACTACAATATTATAGAGGCAGAAGCCGAGGTCGCTTGCGGCTGAGGCCTGTGATACTGTGATCTTCTTGGTTAAAGAGATATCAGCTGATTTACTACAATATTATAGAGGTAGAAGCCGAGGTCGCTTGCGGCCGAGGCTCTACATTTACTCCCTTAAACGGATATTAGCTAATTTATTACAATGTTATAGGGATAGGAGCCGAGATCGCTTGCGGGCGAGGCTCTAGGTTTACATCGTTAAAGAGATATTAGTTGCTTTACTACCATATTATAGAGGCAGAAGCCGAGGTCGCTTGCGGGCGAGGCTCTGGGTTTACTCCCTTAAACGGATATTAAAGCGTGGAAAAAATATATAACACAAATAAAATAAAAGTTGTCAACATCCTTGTATTGCTTGAAAGTGGTGTTAAGGGTTTTACTGATCAAAGAAACAAAAAGTGTGTATTTTGCATACTTTCACAGTATAGCAACATATGGTGCTTCAAACGATATTGAGGTAATCTTGAAAGCTCAAAAAGAGCCGTAGAATACTTGCAAATGAGAGTTGTCGAACGATTTTCAAGGCACTAAAAATACTAACAATACCATCATGTTTTATTCTATCATGTTTGAATTACATACACACAGAAAAAGAACACGTACCCAAAAATGCAGATACACACAACTATCACACACGTCATGGATGTGACATATTGGTATCACTACATAGAGTTTGAAAGTCACAAAATAATGTGCATTATCAATCAGTTAAACTGTACAATGTACTCTCACCAAAATTAAACCTTTGAATATTGAAAAGTTCAAAAAAATACTGAAAGAAAAATTGAATATTATGAAAAAATACAAAATATTAATGTAATGTTAAATTTTTTTTGTGGACGATTTAAATGTAATAAGGTTACGTTTTTGAATAAAGTATTATTATTTTTAGCTAATTTATTACAATGTTACACGGGTAGGAGCCGAGGTCGCTTGCGGGCGAGGCTCTGGGTTTACGTCATTAAAGAGATATTAGTTGTTTTACTACAATGTTATAGAGGTAGGAGCCGAGGCTGCCTGTTGTCGGGGCTCTACATTTACTCCGTTAAAGAAATATTAGTTGATTTATTACTACAGGTTTCCCAAAAGTAACGGTTAAAAACAGTTTTTAGTGAAATCGCTGAAACAGGCCTAAAGATTTAAATTATTTACAATTTTTTTGGTATAAATTTTAAATTGTTTTCGCTAATTTTAAACAAGTTAGTAGAATTAGTATTTAGTACAGTCAAAATTAATATTTGGTAGGTACATAAGAAAATTTCCCATTCATTCGAGTAAGAAAGATAGCTGTAGCCATGCGTAACCGTGGCAACCAAAAGTTTCAGATGTCAAAAATTAATCAGTCTTTAATAAAATATCTGAAGCAATTGGTTGCCATGGTTACGCATAGCCACTGCTATCTTTTTATTTAAAAGATATCCTGTAAAAATCCTATAGACATCTTGTATACAGGGTGTTTCTGTAAGTCGTGGCATAATTTTAATCACAAATACTAGCGTTAAAATAATGACGATACGTGTAAAAATTTTTGGTCTAAACCCATAAAGGGTTAAAGCTAGGTGTCCACTTGAGAGTGTTTTTTCTCTCCGAGAGCTTTCTCTCTAACAGTTCTCTCAGGACCGTGTCCACTAGTGAAATGGGTCCGTGCTATGGAAAGTAAAATTTATTTTCTTTTAGTATTTGGTGTGTGTAAACATGGATGTAAAAAAAATTGCAAGTGCAAAATTTAAAAAAAAACAAACGGAAAAAATGAAAAGAAGCTGTTGGGTGAAACCATGGATTGGGCGTAGATTAGAGCTGGGTGTCAACAAATATCAACATTCGTTATCAAATTGTTAGTTATTTGGCATACTGGATTCACAAAAAGTGAACTCGATTGCTCTAAAGCACTAAAAAGAAAGACTAGATGTTGCAAATGAAGCAGATTCTTCTTACTGAAAACTTCACACTACTACCAGAAGACGAAATGCTGTTGGTAGAAGACTAGATATTGCTGGCAGAAGACTAAGTATTGCTAGTGAAAGACTAGACATTGCAAATGAAGCGCATCCTTCTTACAGAGGACTACACACTACTACTAAAAACCAAATACTCTAAGCAGAAGACTTAATTTTACTGTCAGAAGACCAAATTATGTTGTAATTGTAAGACTAGATATTACCAATGGTACAAATCCCGTTTAATTTTCTGTCCAATACTTGTTAAAATTGCATCCCTCACTTCCCGATTCTATGTTCTTTAGATGTGGTATTCCAAAGAACACATTTAACTTTTTTTTAATGTTTCCTTTGTCATTAAAATCACCTTTGGATTTAACTTTTTAACTTTAATACAATCTAAAATGTGGAAACTCTTCTTCATGACATCGACTCTAGTAGATGAATCGATAAATGAAAATCTTAATCAAAAAGATTTTATAAATATCCTTGAAATAATCCATGAAGTTAGCAACGATGACAAATAACTGTCACACTTGACATAATATACAGCCCCATAATATTCGGTTACACAACACTTTTTTCGCATTTCTTCTTCATTTCTAATTCATAAAGGAGGTAAAATTTTTGGTAGATTTATTTTTAAGTCTACCTGTTACTTAATGTGTGTCCTACCTAAACCCTACCTAAAAAGAGAGTGATGTTTTCGTGCTAAAATACACCCAAATAAACCTTTTTAGACTTCCAACTACACAAAACAGAATAAACCCCATTGATTTTAAGGCGTTTCCGTTGTTGTTTTCTTTGGAACAGAAAGAAAAAACGGTTTTTAAATCGACCGAAACGCCTGGAATGAATTTGGGCGTAGAAAATTGTTTGAAAAAAGATTATTAATAAAAATTATCATAAAAAAATTTGGTTTTATTTAGATTTGAACTTGGATTATTTGGGTTAAAAAAAAATTAATTAAGCAATGTTACCAAATCATCTAATAAGGGGTTGTTTTTTTTTTATTAATTTTGCTTTTATATTTATAACATTTTTTTTTTATATTGGATTTATTAAAAATGTATTAGCTAAATTAATTAAATATTATTAATTTAATTCCTTTCTTATTAATTTAAATAATCAAATAAAAATCAGCTGATTTCAATGATGATTTTGACAGATTAGAGATGGTTGGAAATTCCTTCGCAACGAAGCGGAATTCATCCCGAAATCGGAAATGTATTTACGAGAAGAACGTTAAAGAGCCCCAAAACATGGAGTTGAGGAGGAGCAAAAGAGTCGCCGCGAAGAGAGTAACGGTATTTAATTTTTTTTTGAATTTATTTTAAATCAAATTTATTTTCGTTTTATTTTTAGATTCCAATTGGGTTTTTTTCGAGCGGACTTAAATCAACTTCGACTCGAAACAACAATAAAACAGGTTAGTTTTATTTAAAAATTATTAATGTAAAAATAATCAAGTTTGAAATAATCATTTAGGTGTCAAAACATTTAAACGCACCAATAAGACGGCGACTTCCTATTGGTGTCTTTGTTGTTTAGGCGTTTCATCTCTTTCTATTCTTAGTAATAAGTCTATGATTGGGTGGGGGTAAAAAAATCTTTTTTACCGACCGCTCTTGCGATCAGCAGTTGAGAGAAGGAAATCAGTTGGTTTTCAAACTTCTAACGGTAATGTTACTTAACCTCGAAAATAAAAATAATAAATCAATTCCAAAATTAGTAAGTTTTTATTAAATTTTTAATTAACATTAACTAAACAAAAATTTACACAATTAATTTAACCCAAATAATTTGACACTTCTTAACGATATAACCTAAAAAAAATGTAATTGTCAAAAAAAATTTTTTTAAATTATTCCTTATTTAAATTAGATTTTGGTCACGGTAGGCTCGTATTAAGCGAAGATTTACACGCGTTATTAAACAACTTTAACGCAACACCGAAATCGTCGTCTTCGTTCGACGAGGAGGGCAACGAACGTTTTGGGCGGGCAAATTCGGACGTGGTGTTTCCCGCCGGAATTTTGCCCGAAAAGAAATTGGTGGGCCGCCAGAAAACTTACGCGGACATCGCCGATTATTTCCGCGAGGTTTCCACCAAAAATCCAACCCCAAAAGCGGCCAAACAAGACGGAGAAGTTCGTTTTAGCAACGAGGAAAACGAAGTTGGACTTTGCAGTCTTTGGGGGGTTTCACCGAAAAGGGCTGAAATTAGGGGGGAATCACAATCGATTTATGAAAGAAAGGTAAGAATATTTCATAATTTAAAAGAATTTTTAACCCCTGATTAATTATTTGGGAGATATTGACATTTTTAGTTGTCATTTTTTTTTGAGGTTAGTTTCATTTTTTTTAGCGCCTTTATTTATTATCTTTTTTGATGTTTTTTTTGATTATTCGATTTAAATAAGCTTGTTTAAGCGATTTTAATTGGGTTTGGTGGAAAACGCAACGTTCATTTTGATTCGTTTTATGTAAAAGATTAATTTATCCCCAATTCTTTCAAACTTGGAGTTTTCTAAGTGAGTTAATTACAAAAAGGTGAGTCTTAACGCCTTATTAAACCCCATTCGGGATTAAAATCATACTTTTACACAGAGATATCGATCTAAAACTTTAAAATTTTTAGGTTATGTTCGATTTTTACCGCCTATTTCTTATGTTTTGGGTTAATTCATTTAATTAATTCGCTTTTTTTAATGATTTTGATTACTTCCTTCCAAAATTTTTCGATTTCCATACTTTACAAAAAATTTTCAATGAAATTTTTTGTTTTTTCATGGTTGGTAATAAATAATTTGACGTTTACTAAAAAAAATAAGTCAATAAATACAAACAAAAACAAAACGTTGCGTTAAAATGGCGGATAAGCTCGAATAAAATTAATTTGACGTTTGCAAGGTGAGGTTAGGTTTCATCTTTCTACATAGTCGCGTGGGAAATTAAAAATACTTTAATTTGAGTCCAAACACGACCCAATTATCTCTAAAAACAGCGGAGATATCCCACGTTTTATTTTGACATAACCTCAAAAAAGTGACAACCGGAAGTTTGTTCTTTTTTAAGATAACTCGACCGAGTTTGGGCTCATTTTAAAGGGAATTTAATGTAAGTTACGAATACGATATGGTATTAATTAGATTCTGTCTAAATAAATACAAAATGGCGGATAATTCAATAAAAAATGATGCAATTTTAACGAAATTGAATCGCAGGGGGCTTTTAAGTAAAAATAAAGGATTTAGTTATTATTAAGATGGCGGAATATGTCAAATAATATTAATTTGACGTTTATAAAGTGAGGTTGGGATTTTTATTTATTCACCATCGTGTGGGGAATTAAAAATGTTTCAAATTGAGTCCAAACTCGACTCGATTATTTCAAAAAACACCTGAGATATTCAAAAATTTAATTTTGACATAACCTCAAAAAAGTGACAACCGGAAGTTCGTGGTTTTTTAAGATAACCCCATCGAGTTTGGGCTCATTTTAAAGGGAGTTTAATGTAGATTACGAATACGTTGTTGTATTAATTAGATTCTGTCAAAATAAAGACAAAATGGCGGATAATTCAATCAAAAATGAAGCAATTTTAACGAAATTGAATTCGCGGGGGACTTTTAAGTAAAAATGAAGGATTTAGTTATTATTAAGATGGCGAAAAATGTCAAATAATATTAATTTGACGTTTATAAAGTGAGGTTAGGTTTTTTTTTGATTCACCATCGTGTGGGGAATTAAAAATGCTTCAAATTGAGTCCAAACTCGACTCGATTATCTCAAAAAACACCTGAGATATTCAAAAATTTAATTTTGACATAACCTCAAAAAAGTGATAACCGGAAGTTTGTTGTTTTTTAAGATAACCCCATCGAGTTTGGGCTCATTTTAAAGGGAGTTTCATGTAGATTACGAATACGTTGTTGTATTAATTAGATTCTGTCAAAATAAAGACAAAATGGCGGATAATTCAATCAAAAATGAAGCAATTTTAACGAAATTGAATTCGCGGGGGACTTTTAAGTAAAAATGAAGGATTCAGTTATTATTAAGATGGCGGAAAATGTCAAATAATATTAATTTGACGTTTATAAAGTGAGGTTAGGATTTTTATTTATTAACCATCGTGTGGGGAATTAAAAATGCTTCAAATTGAGTCCAAACTCGACTCGATTATCTCAAAAAACAGCCGAAATATTCAAAAATTTAATTTTGACATAACCTCAAAAATGTGACAACGGGAAGTTTGTTGTTTTTTGAGATAACCCCATCGAGTTTGGGCTCATTTTAAAGGGAATTTAATGTAGATTGCGAATACGCAGTTGGATTAATCAAATTCGATAATAATAAAAACAAAATGGCGGATTATTTAATAAAAATGATTCGATTTTAACGAAATTACATTCGCGGTGTACTTTTAGATCGAAAAATAAAGATTTTCGTTATTATTCAATTAAAATTATTGATCAAGATGGCGGAAAATATCAAATAATATTGATTTGACGTTTATAAAGTGAGGTTAGGTTTTTTTTTGATTCACCATCGTGTGGGGAATTAAAAATGCTTCAAATTGAGTCCTAACTCGACTCGATTATCTCAAAAAACAGCCGAAATATTCAAAAATTTAATTTTAGACATAACCTCAAAAAAGTGACAACCGGAAGTTTGTTGTTTTTTGACATAACCCCATCGAGTTTGGGCTCATTTTAAAGGGATTTTAATGTAGATTGCGAATACGCTGTTGGATTAATCAAATTCGATAATAATGAAAACAAAATGGCGGATTATTTAATAAAAATGATTCGATTTTAACGAAATTACATTCGCGGTGTACTTTTAGATCGAAAAATAAAGATTTTCGTTATTATTCAATTAAAATTATTGATCAAGATGGCGGAAAATATCAAATAATATTGATTTGACGTTTATAAAGTGAGGTTACGTTTTTTATTTATTCACCATCGCGCGGGGAATTAAAAATGCTTCGAATTGAGTCCAAATTCGACCCGATTATCTCAAAAAACACCCGAGATATCTAACATTTAATTTTGACATAACCTCAAAAAAGTGACAAGCGGAAGTTTGTTGTTTTTTGAGATAACCCCATCGAGTTTGGGCTCATTTTAAAGGGAATTTAATCTAGATTACGAATATGATGTTGGATTAATTCAATTTTGTCAAAATAAAAACAAAATGGCGGATGATTAAAAGAAAATTATTCGATTTTAACGAAATTAAATTCGCGGGTTGCTATTAGATCTAAAAATAAAACTTCGTTATTATGTATTAATCAAGATGGTTCAAAATATCAAATAATATTGATTTGGCGTTTATAAAGTGAGGTTATTTATTTTTTTTGATTTACTATCGTGTGGGGAATTAAAAATGCTTCAAATTGAGTCCAAACTCGACTCGATTATCTCATAAAACAAGCGAGATATTCAAAAATTTAATTTTGACATAACCTCAAAAAAGTGACAACCGGAAGTTGATTTTCTTAGTTGTTTTTTGAGATAACCCCATCGAGTTTGGGCTCATTTTAACGGGAATTTCGTGTAGATTATGATTCCGATTAAATTTGATCATAATTTTTACTTTTTTTTTGTTTTAGTTAACTCAAAACAAAGATTTAACTCCAATTAACATCTCATTTTGCGCCAACCTCCTTCTTGATATCAACCCATCTCGAAGCAACTCAAAAAAATCGTATTTATTGAAAGTTCGTCAAACCACGCAAAGTTTCAACGAAATCCTCGACGGGAAATCCCCCTCTTTACCTTTATTAACATCAAAAATGAGTACGAAGCGATCCCTTCCTGATGATTACGATGATAATAATTTGGCCGCTTCGGCCGCTGTGGCATTGGTGCCTCAATCGCAGTGGGTTTACAGCACTCCGGATAAATGTGGCATGAAAAAATTCGTTTTTGAGGATCGCAACAAAGAAAAAATGGTCCCCGCTGTAATCCAAACGACGAAAAAGAATAAAGTTTTATACGACATCAAAAATGAGTTGATTCAAAACGTTAATTTGAACCGATTTGTTAAAGATGACGCGGTTCCCATCGATAAGCGATTTTTAAACCCCATCTACCAAGAAGATATTTCGGTAAAACGCGTTAAATTAGACGAAAAAGAGAATTTTTTTAACTTTAAGGAGCCGCTATCGAAAAAAGTTAGCGATTTTAATGTTTTTTTATCGAATAACGAAGAGAAAACGATCGATATTGAAGCCCCATCGAGTTCCCCCATGGATATTTCGCTACCGTTAAGCGAAGAATCCTTCGATATGAACTTATTGGTGGAAGATCCGTACGAAAAGGCGCCCATTGATTACCAACATCAATTATTATTAGCCACTCAAAGACCCTCAAAGACAACAAAAAAGATTCCTAAGCGACACATGTTAAAAGCGAAAAGTTTGAGTTTTGAGGCAACTCCACCTCGAGGGCGTCCTTTGGGGTTCGAACCGAAAAAGTTGGAGTGTTTGGATGAGTTCGAAGCGCAATTTAATCGATTAGGTGAAAAAAATGATAATAAAGATGAAAAAAGTGATAATAATAAAGCGGAAATTAACATCGCGAATTTCGTCGTTCCGGCTTTTAAGTTTTATCCGCGAATAAATTACGATTGTAATAAATAATAAATAAATGTAAGCTTAAGTTTTGAGTTAAGTTTAAGAGTGCAATTAAAAGGTTCTTCCGAATGATTAGTTTTTTTTTATGGAAGAAAAGTGCAGTTATAGCAATTAAGGTTGGTTTTCTCTGTATCAAATAAATTTAAATAAAAAAAAACTTAATATTTTTTTAGGTTATCATAATAATGAGTTTATTTTGTGATTATATTGATTTAATTAATAATAAAAGAGTTTCTATGAGATAATTTATCGCAAATAATTGTATATATACTATATAAAGTTTTATTTTTTAAGAGATTAAATAAAACTACGAATAACTATCATTATTTTGTTTCATTTTGTAATGATATAACCAAACCAAGTTATTTATTATTTAAATTTTGAATAATCGTAGGTGAAGTTACGAATAATAATTATAAAAATTTGATTTTGTATTAATAAAATGTTGTAAATAAGTTAGAATTCATTATCTATTATTGCCCATTTACGTTTATTATTGTATTTAATCCATGTAAAGTTAATACGAATTAATTTTGTAAAATTTTGACAGTGACATAACCTCAAATTTCATTTTTCATTAATTTCTTATTACATTTCATATTTCTCCGGTAGAAACGATTGAAAACGATAATCTTAGCATGTCAAGAACGAAAATCATCTATCATATGGGAGTTTTGATGCAAAATTTGACGAAAATCTGTAGATTAAATATTTGAAAGTATTTTTGAAGCTGGATGTTGAAATCTAAAAGAAAATGTTTCGAAATTAGCACAAACAAAGTTAAAGCAACAAAACTACAACATTTCATACATAAATATAGTTAAAATAGAAATTTTAATAATTTTTGATTAAATTTAATTGGTGATATTTGACATTTCAAAGTTGGCTATACCGGAGAAATTTAAAATACGAATTTCAAGTTGAAAAATTAACCAATCAGAAAACGTTATTTGAAACGTTCTTGCAAGAAACAAACGAAACTGGTACATTTTAGTGTGATTTCGAACGTGATGAGGAGTGCACGCTAATTTTATCCGCGATCAACTTAAAAAACAAAAGTTAGGTTACTTGTCAATCATCATAATGGCATAACCTCAAAAATAGTAAACTTATTTACTAAGTTAATTAAGATTATTAGAATTAAAATTATTCACCTTAATAATAAACAAGAAAATTAAGTGGTTCCTGATCCAATTAACCCAGTTTACTATTCCGAAGAGTTATTCCAATCCAATCAAGAATCATAGTTACCGATTCCTTTTGAAGAGTCCAAGTTTCCTTATCCAAGAACTTCAATAATCTACAAGATAAGTTAAGTTATAATTTTCAATTTCATTATTATTCGTTTATTATTTATACGATTAATTTGGGGTATTTTTTTTTGTTTGGTTATGTTATTACAATCTCATTACGTATAATTCAACTATTAAAACTGGTTAATTAATTTATTTCGTATTAACTAGAAGTTAAAAGATAATTTTACTAATTATTTCACTGAGAGTTTTGTCAAACTTTATTTATTTATTTTTGTGTTTACTCAAGCCAGGGTTGCCAAAATCGTGAGATTTGTTTAAAAATCACTCAATTTTAATAATACGTGTTACATATAGGCATATGATTCTAGTAAAACAGTTTGTACATAAAAGTGATATAATTAAAAGGAAATAAAATATTAGTTTAAGTAATTTCTTAGCGCCATCTAGCGGCGAATAGATGTAACTAATAGAGAAATTTACAGTAACCTACAATTTGGGTTGAAAATATTATGATTTTATTAACACCTATTATTATATTATTTTTGTAATAAAATCGTGGTAAATACCTTCTGGACAGCTTTTGACGACTATAGAAATAATTAGAAAGCTTCTGGATATCTTTTAAAACCTTCTAGGAATCTTTATAATTATCGAGAAAGCGTTTAGATACTTTTTGATATTCATGGCAATCACTAGAATGTTTCAGGACAATTTTTAACTACTATAGAAATCATTAAATACCTTCTGGACACCCTTCGACGATTATATAAATCATTAGAAAGCTTATGGACACTTTTTGACGACTATAGACATTATCAGAATCCACCTGGATAGTTTTTAACGACTATAGGAATAATTAGAAAGCTTCTGGACACTTTTTGACTACTATAGTGATGATTAGAATCCTTCTGGACACTTTTTGATAACTCTAGGTATCATTAGACACCATGTGGACAGTTTTAACAGCTATTGTAACAATTAGAAAGCTTCTGGATAATTTTTGACTGCTATAGAGATCATTAGAAACATTTAGGAGACGTTTTAACTACTATAGAAATAATTAGACAGCTTCTGGACACTTTTTGAGAACTATAGGAATCATTAAAAGCTATCTACACACTTTTGGACATCTTTTAAAGCCTTCTGGTAATCTTTATAATTATCTAGAAAGCGTTTAGATACTTTTTGATGTTCATGGCAATCATTAGAAAGTTTCAGAACACTTTTTAACTACTATAGAAGCCATTAAATACCTTCTGGACATTTTTTGACGACTATAAAAAGCATTAGAAAGGTTCTGGGCACTTTTAGACAACTATAGGATTCATTAAAAAGTATCCAGACACTTTTAAAATCTCCTGGTAATCTTTATAATTGTACAGAGAGCATTTAAACACCTTTTGATATTCATGGCAATCATTAGATAGATATTATAGAAATCATTAAATATCTTCTGGACACTTTTTGACTACTAGAGATGTCATCAGACACCATCTGGACAGTTTTTAACGACTATAGAAATAATTAGAAAGTTTCTAGACACATTTTAACAACTATAGGAATCATTAAAAACCTTCTGGATACCTTCTGACGATTATAGAAATCATTAGAAAGCTTTTGGACACTTTTTGATAACTATAGGAATCATTAAAAACTATGTAGACACTTTTAGACATCTTTTAAAGTCTTCTGGCAATCTTTATAATTATCTAGAAAGCGTTTAGATACTTTTTGATGTTTATGACAATCAGTAGAAAGTTTCAGGACACTTTTTAACTACTATAGAAATCATTAAGTACCTTCTGGACACCTTTTGAGTACTATAGATGTCATCAGACACCATCTGGGCAGTTTTTAACGACTACAGAAATAATTAGAAAGCTTTTGATACTTTTGGATATCTCTTAAAATCTTCTGGTAATTTTTATAATTATTCAGGACACTTTTTCACAACTATATAAATCATTACAAACTTCTAGAATTGTCCAGAAAGGTTTTAGACACTTTTTAATAATCATGGCAATCATTAGATTGTGCCTGAACACTTTTTGACATCTTTAAAAACTCTCTGGATGTCTTCATAAATGTCCAGAAAGCGTTTAAATGCGTTTTGACGACTTTAGACAAACTTTATACCTGTCCAGAAAGCGTTTAGACACTTTTTAATGGTTATAGATATAATTAGAAATCTTTTGGACAGTTTTGGATATAATTAAAGAGTTTCTTAGAGATGAAATAAAACTAGGAATAACAAATCAAAAAGCTCTCTTTATTTTGTTTCATTTATAATCGATTTAATGGCACCAATAAATTCAACCAAAAAGTTAATAACAAAACGAAATGAATTTACCAAAATAATAATAATATCAGACTAGGTTTAATTAAAATCTAAATTAACCCAAAAAAAAGAAAATGGAGATGTACAACTAGATAACATCAATAACTAACTAACTATTTATTACATCATTTTTATGTACAAAATAAAATCGAAGTGCGGGAATCTAACTAAGCGATATCTAACAACAATTTCTTTGGTATTGCATTACTTTAAAATGATTAAAAATGATTTACTTTTAGGCACATTCAAACTTAATTAAATTTACAAACTTTACTATTTATTTACGTTTATAAAAAGCTATAATTTACAAAAATATACAAAAATACTGGCAACTCATTATCGTTATTACCGTAACCTCAAAATAAAACAACGTAATCCTCAAAAACGATAAAAAACCAGATTAATCTTATTGAATAACACAATTCTTCCTCAACTCCGTCTCACTCTCCTCCAATTCCACTTCGGCCGCTTGACCCGGACTATTCGAAGCAACTTCCGGCAAATATGGCCGATAATCCAACCCCGATCTCTCATAAAACAAGATATACGCCGAGCTTGTATCGATTTTTGGAACTTTCACGTCGGTGTAAGCGCATTTAAACGAATTCAACGAATTTTCAGATCCATCGAAAATCTTTTTCATTAACTTCCGTTCTTGGAAACACGGCGAGTTCTTTGGGGAATTAATTTTTGAATTCACTAACGTGTGAGTTTCCGATGATGAATTATTCTCATCGCTTAAATTGTTCGTCAATTTTTGATCGTTATTATTATTATTGTTATTATTGTTGTTATTGCATAAAGTGTCGGTGGAAATTTGGGACAAACTCGAATTACTTCCGTTTCTTCTCCGCATTAAAGGCGTTTGTAGCGGGGAATTAATCCGTGGGTTAATATGGGTCGTCGAATAATTTAGTTGCGCCTTATCGTTGTTGTTATTTTCGTTCGAATCGGTTAAAACTTCTCGACAAGAACTATCGTTGTAGCAGTACCAATGTCCGTTTGGGTTACAAGCGTACGAGATGTAATGGCCCCCGTTTAATAACCCGGAATGACTCTAAAAATTAAAATTAATCAAATTAGAATTAAATGAAACATTTTGACGATTATAGATATCATTAGACACCTTCTGGACAGTTTTTAACGACTATAGAAATCATTAGAAAGGTTCTGGACAATTTTTGATAACTGAAGATATCATTAGACATCCACTGGACACTTTTTAACTACTACAGAAACCATTAAATACGTTCTGGACACCTTTTGACAACTATAGAAATGATTACAAAGCTTCTGGTCACTTTTTGACAACTATAGGAATCATTAGGAACTATCTAGACACTTTTGGACATCTTTTAAAATCTTCTGACAACCTTTATAATTATCCAGAAAGCGTTTAGACACGTTTTGATATTCATGGCAATCATTAGAAAGATTCTGGATACTTCTTAACTACTATAGAAATCATTAAATACCTTCTGGACACTTTTTGACGACTATAGATATGATTAGACACCTTCTGGGCACATTTTGACTACTATAGATATCATTAGACACCTTCTGGGCACTTTTTAACGACTATAGAAATAATTAGCAAGCTTCTGGACACTTTTTGACAACTATAGGAATCATTAGAAACTTTCTAGACACTTATGGACATCTTTTAAAATCGTCTAGCACTCTTTATAAGTATCCAGAAAGCGTTTAGATACTTCTTGATAATCATGACAATCATTAGAAAGCTTCAGGACCCTTTTTAACGACTATAGACATCATTAGACACCTTCTGGACACATTTTGACGACTATAGAAATCATTAAGAAGCTTTTGGACACTTTTAGACAACTATAAAAATCATTAGAGAGGTTCTAGAATTGTCCAGAATTCTTTTAGACACTTTTTGATAATCATGACAATCATTAGAAAGCTTCAGGACACTTTTTGACGACTATAGAAATCATTAGAGAGCTTCTGGACACTTTTTGATAACTATAAGAATCATTAGAAACTTTCTAGACACTTTCGGAGATCTTTTAAAATTTTCTAGCAACCTTTATAATTGTACAGGGAGCATTTAGACATCTTTTGATATTCATGGCAATCATTAAAAAGCTTCGGTACACTTTCCAAAGACTGTAGAAATCGATAGTAGCCTTCTAGACATATTTTGACAACTATAGTAATCATTAGGAAGCTTTTGGACACTTTTTCACGACTAAAGAAATCATTAGAGAGCTTCTAAAATTGTCCAGAAAGCTTTTAGACACATTTTGATAATCATGGCAATCATTAGATAGCGCCTGGACACTTTTTGACATCTTTAAAAACCCTATTGTTGTCTTCATAAATGTCCAGGAAGCGTTTAAATACGTTTTGACGACTCTAAAAAACTTTAGACAAACTTTATAACTGTCCAAAAAGCTTTTAGACACTTTTTAGTAATTTTGCAATTCCTTAGAAACGCCTGGTCAACTTGCGACATCTTTAAACCCCCTCTGACAAGCTTTATAATTGTCCAGGAAGCGGTTAACAATTTTTTGATAATTATGGAAATTATTAGAAAGCTTCTGGACACATTTTAAGGACTATAGAAATCATTAAATACCTTCTGGACACTTTTTGACAACTATAGTAATCATTAAGAAATTTTTTCATGATTATAGAAATCATTAGACAGCTTCTAGAATTGTCCAGAAAGCTTTTAGATACTTTTTAATAATCGTGGCAATCATTAGATATCGCCTGGACACTTTTTGACATCTTTAAAACCCCTCTGGATGTCTTCATAAACGCCC